GTACTCGCTATTCTTCAGTTATATGATTCTCCTTCTCCATTTCTTAGTTCTAGTCTAGTTCTTTTTCCGAACGCCAGTATCTAGCTTCGTTTCGAGGATTGAACTATCTTTTGAGCTCTTGATGAGGGTTTTATTTAGGGTTTCATGTTATGGTGTGTTGCGTATGGGTAAGGCTCGTTTTTTGCTGCAATTTCAAGCTCTTTGCAGAGAATAGTGGAGGTCAGGTGTTGTTTACATTGGAATTTTGGTCCGCTGTTTATTTTAAACTCTATTAATAAAGCAATTTCGCTATGGTACACAAACATCATTTTGTGTGCACCAACTCACACGACAGGGAGAAGGCCACGTCGCCAAGCCAGTAATGGTCGACCATGATTGAGCGAGCTGGGAGTAAGAGAGGAAAGGGGAAAAGTGAAGCCGCGGAAGCCACGCCAAAAACTGAAGGGAGGGAAAGGTGGTGGGGTCGCGGAATTTGGGTTTTGAAATTGAAAAAAAAGGCCTCCTGTCTCCTCAACCGTCTCCTCCTCCACTCTTCTTCCTTCTCTCTGCTCCTTCTTTCCCTATTCTTCTTCTTTCTCCGCCATTTTCTTTCTCTGTTTTGCTCTCGTTGAATAGAGCAACACAGACCACCCCTCCCAAAAACAAAGAAAAGCGAGGAATACCGGAACAAGAAAAGCGCCGAAGAAATCGTCATCTCTTGTCGGCGACGAGCAGCCCAGTTGATAACCAGGAGAGCTTCCACGAGGATGAATCGTCCTTCCTCGAGTTCTTTGTATTTCGGTCGACCTTTCTCGCCTATTAATACCGGTGAGGACGATTCTTTCTGTCCTTTTCTTTCTAGCTGTGGGGTTTTGCCTTGAATCCACCTTTTTGCTTCATTCTTGAGTGTTTAGGGTTCACTGAATACGCGTTTAGGATTTTTTCGGTACACCTTCAAAATTGACTCGATTCTCATGAGTATTCTTCAGAATGTGTCTTGTGTGGGCGAGATATGTGAATTTTGTGTTGACCAAGTTTTTGGGTTGTTGCTTAGAATTGGTTCTTGCTTAGAATCAGTAATATGGTTGAATCCAAAAGTAGTTGTTACCATAACCTTCAATCTGTTGAATACTAGTGATTTGTGTTTTGAAAATTAGTTATATAATCCTAACAATAATATAAAGAGGTTCTCCATGAGAACATGTTTAATTCTAAATTTCGAGGCTTCTGAGTAAATTTAGGAAGGATTTTTTGTCATTTTAGTTAATAATAAAAACTCTGAGCCTATTAGTAAACGGAGATTTTAATTGAGCTATTTTCTAGGTCAATTAATTATACTATTGGAAAAGAGATTCCGTTGGGAATTTTCTTTAAAATAATTATTATATTATTGTTTTAGTTAGGAAATATGGTGGCGTGTATAGAGGTTTAGTCTGTTTATTTTATTTTTATTTATTTATTTATTTATTTATAATACAGGTTAAGTGTTTGAGATGAATTATCATGTGTGACATTGTTAATTAATTAATTTTTAATAAATTTACTTAGACAAATCAAATAATTTCGCATTATAAATCTATCTAAACCATACCTAAGGAGGTTCCGCTTGAGAACTCCATCAATTCCAATTTTTCTTGCTTATGCACAGAGAACGGAGGGGCCTTAAGGTCAAAACACAAATTTTAATCACATGGCAATAAAAAGAAGGGACGATGAGTATTTTGATACAAATATCCGTTTTATGATAGGTCGAGTTCAAATCGGGTGATTTATCATGGGATGCGGGTTGGGGCAGATCGATCCAAATGGGCATGTAAATTCAATGTAAACCTTTGAAAATACTCATTTTTTCATTACAAAAATTCAAGAAACAAACTATAACACAATTAATATAGTTAAATTATTCATAAAATTGAGGTTCTCACATATTTACAACTTTATTGTAGTTAAAATATTAGCTAATAAAAGTAAAATGCTAAGTAATTTGAGTAAAATCACATGTGATTTAAGCAAGAACGGGTCAAAAAATGGGACAGGTCGGGCAGAGCAGGTCGAGGACTTTATCCATGCCCCCTCGCCCACTTACCGGGCAGGTATTACCCTCCAAAAAATAGGTAAAACAGATGAGATAAAACGAGACCAGTCGAAATTGTCATCTCTAACTACAAGCTTTGTGTTTTCCAAGATTATATTGTCCTTCCATTGTTGCCTTCTGATTGGTAGGGCAAAAGCCAGATTCGTTGTGTTTGAAGTGTATGTGAATATATCAACTACGTAGTGTCATAGGGTTCCATTAGAAATTAATAGATTTGAGAACAGAGAAGTGAATTCTTGAGGCACGGCAGCGAATATTTATAGAATTTGTTTAACTAAAATTTTTTTTTTTTGGCGAAGAGAAACAATTAGGTTTGCACGCTGATGTTAGAAGTTTGTCATTGTCAACTATTTTGTTGATATTATTTATTCTAAATATTTTTTGTCGGCTATTTTGTTTAGTTCTATGCCTCGAAGAAATAACCCACGTGGAGAGTCATACAAACAACCAAATAACGCTTCAATTCATTCGTTAAAAATTGAATGCAAGTATAAATATTTTTATTAGCATAATTATATACATCTTACAATTTAATATGTGTCCATGTCATGCATTATTAAAAAAAAAGATCTATTTTTATAGCACCAGAAGGTGTCGTGAATTCTAATCAGTCTCTATCTGAACTGCATAATAATATTTTCTTATGGTATGAATATGGCTCATAAATTGATTGTAATCTGTTAACTATTGCATACTGCTTGATCTTACAAAACTACCACTATCCATTTTTCTTTTTCAGAAATTGATTCACATAAGCCAGAGTTAAAGAGAATTGATCAATCATTGACTAAATTAGTAAAAAGTAAACATGCTCTTAATATATGGCAAAAGCGTATATATGAAAAATTGTCAACATTCTTACCGACAATCCATTATTTTCATGTTTGTTGTCAATTTATATGTTATCAAATTATGTGTTAGATGCTAGGATCGCTTATTTTAATGATTCATATACAAGACTTCAAAATGAGATGAATAACTTACAAACTATGAGAAATAGATTGCTGAGGTAAATCAAACTTGCTGAAAATTGTTATAATCGTCTTCGGGTGATGCGATCTGGAGAATTTCCAGGTTTATGTATATTTTAATTATTTCATTTTCCTTCATTTATTATAATGTTGGAATTATTATCAAATGCATTTTTTATATTTGAGTTTTAATTTTATTGCAGTTGTTGAAGTGTTTGATATTGGAACCCCATCAAATAAATGTGAATATTGTGGAGCAATGAGGTGGAAGGGAGAAAATACCAAACCCACAAGGAATTCCAATGAACGAAAGTTTTTATTGTGTTGCAGACAAGGCAAAGTGAACCTCCATACTCGAAGGTAGCCTCCCAAAGTTTTGGATATGCTATTGCAAGCAAATACTTCAACGGGACGTTAGTTTTTGGAACATATATGTGGCTATAATGGGGTCTTCACATAAACTTATATTGGAGGTCAACTGGACCGATCTATAAATGATGGACAAGCAATATATTTATTCAATTGGAAGTCAAGTATAACACCACATCAGTAGCTTGATGCCTACTGAAAGAAACATACCAAAATTTGCTCAACTCTACATCTATGACACTGATAATGAACTCCAAAATAGGTTAGACTTTTTCTCCACAGATCGAGCTTCAAATCCTTACCGCGATTCAATTATTTAAACAATTGCGGGAGATGTTAGATTCAAATAATATCTTAGTAAAGAAATTACGATCTTCAGGGGATAAAATGAATGACACTACTGTTCAACAAGTTGAAATTAAGTTGCTTGCTAAAATTAAGAGAATGAGATGGTAGATTATATGATTTGCCATCTGCAAATAAGGTCGCTGCTTTAATTAATGATGATACTGGGGAGCAAACATTTTCTCCTGATATTGGTGCTCATTATGGAACAAATTAGTATATAAATCCACGTTTAATGGCTTTCTAATATCCCATATTATTCCCAAACGGCAAGGATGGTTGACACCCATATATTCCACTTTTTGTGTTGAGGATGTTGATGGATACAAAGAGAAGAATATGACCCAATGTATATGTCGATTAGTAAAATGGTAAAGACACATCTAAATTAATTTATTATTATTACAATCATTAATAAATAAATTAATGATAATAAATCAAAGATCGTCAAATTTGCAAGCAAAAACACCTTATGGTCAACTGGAGCAACCTTGCTACTGGTGATTCCAAAAATTCCAGAATTCATTAAATTTGTGCCAAGGTAAAATTCACAACAATTTAATCTTTGTATTTGTGTATGCCTTACAAGTTTGAACTTCAAAGAACAAAAAGAGATTAATTAACATTCTTTTTGGGTGAATAAAGTGATGGCGATGCACCAATTCCTCCAATGAAAGCACAGGAAAAACTCAACTGCCAGTCCCAACCAAAACACTACATGAGCTCAATCAATTATATATGAAAGATGAAGGTAAGCATCAGTTTCGAATTAACAACTCATTAACTATCAAATACTTAAAAATTTTGTAATATGTAGAGAAATATATATATTCCGTAAAATGCAAATTTGTCAGGATTAAGAATGGATGGTGCTATGCTGGATGTGAAACCTGTCCACAAAAACTCGAAGAAGACTCAGCCGAGTACTTCTGTGGGAATTGCTCAAAGGCATTAAAAACGACAACATCAAGGTAATGTAATCATTATTAACGTGAAATTTGATTAGGTAAAGTTCAGTGATTAATATACATGCCAAGTGATTGAATATTTAATCTTCCAAAATATAATTTATATTATTTTCCGTACAATTTAAAGTTATATTACTAATACATAAAAAGAACATTTTCCTTAATGATTAGCAATGCATGGTACTTATACAAGCAGAAACCTTTCGTGTACCTCAACAAAAAAATTATGTTATTACCATCATTATACAGATTCAGGATCACCCTCCGAGTTGCGGACAAAACATGAGAGGTTGATCTTTGTTGTTATGGATAAAGTGGGAGCTCAAGTTTTTTGGAATTTTGGCTGAAAGGCTATTCCAAGGATAACGATAGAATTAGAGGAACATCACCAACTCATTTCCTACAAATTGAGAGAATGACGTTGCAGTTCGGCATCAAGCTCACAGATTACAACATTGCTAATCTAACAAGTGAGTACACAATTACCAAAATATGGAAGGATGAAGAAGATCAATTCACCAACGATATTCATGACTTGATCGAGGTAAATTATATTTGATTAAAATGATGATCAATCTTAATTATAAATTTGTGTTATTCTCTATTGGATTTGAATTTTAATACCATGCACACCTCATACTGAGTTATACTCTTTAATCGAATTCACATCATGCAACGACCAGATGAATGGATCTGTGGGTTTAATTAACATAATTGGCTTAGACGAAGAGGGCTGAGGGTTTAATTAATAAAATAGGCATTTAGTTATTTAACAATCATACTGAGCTTGCCGCAAAGACGAAGAACACCCATTTCTTTCTTTCAGTACTACCTGCTTCGAAATATGGAGGATCTGATATTTTTAATCTTTATATTGGGTGTGGAACTTTGCTTCCTTTCCAACTAACTTGAAATCGATTACATCCGGCTATAATTTGATCTACAATATGTATTGACCAATCATGATTCGATAAAACCACCCATATGTTGTACTTTTGAATGTATAATCTAAATTCATAATGATGATGCAGGAGAACAAGAATGACGCTGCTAATGGTGGAGGTAATGGATCCGGTACTAGAGCTGATGATGATGTTGAGAAGAAGAAAGACATTGTTCATGAGGAAGATATAAAGACTGGTGATGAGGAGAAAGAACAAATCCAGGGAATGTTGATAACTTGGACGAAGTAAATTATACTCCAATGAAAAAGATGATTTGTCTTTGAAAATATATTTTAACATCAAATTTTCGTGCTCAATGAAATGCAGGAAAACAAGAAAAAGATAATTGAAATCTAGGAGAAGAAGAAAAAGTCAATTGATATTGGAGATAAATGTGTCGCTAATGGATATGAAGACATTATATCAATGGTGATGATGAGGTTGTTGATCATGTCGGAGGAAATGCAAACAAGTCAAAAAGAAAACATACAGTAATCTCTAACGATGACGAGTACCTAGAAGGGTCATTATCATTGGTATTTAGGAGTCAGTTCCCTTGCATGGGGTTTTCTTTCATTTTCGTAAAACGATTTTAGTCGATTAGTCATTAGTATCGGAAAACAGTACAATTTTCATTTCTTTGAATTGTTGAACTATTTTAATAATTTGGATTCTCTTATTCTCAAAATCGATTTGAATCTTTAAACTATTTGAAGAATTTTGATTTTCTTATACTAATGTGAAGCCAGAATACAGATTTCTATCGTTATTTACGTAATTAACAATTGAATCCGGCCAACTGGCCGGGCCCGTGACTAGTGTTGACTGTGTTATTGACGAATACTAGTTCTTCTGATTTTGAGTATTAGTTGTATAATGTTGACTGTGTTGTTGACAAATACTAGTTCTTCTGATTTGAGTATTGTTGTATAATGTTGACTGTGTTGTTGACGAATAATAGGGGTGTACATGGGTCGGGTGGTCCGGGTTTAGACATTTTAATCACCCGACCCATGCACTACGGTTTAGGAAATATTAAACCCAAACCCACCCAAAAAAATCTAAACCCTATGGTTTGTTTCTAATTGGGTTGGGTCGGGTTGGCGATATTTTTAAGTAAAAATCCAACCCAACACAAAATATGTAATTATTCTACACCATAAAAATATTTTATAACTAATTAAAATTCAAAAGAATAAACCGAGGTGAAAGGTATCAAAATTCACAAATGTTGTTTGCATTTTAATAAAATTTAATTTACTTCAACTTATGTCTAGTTTTTTTCACGACATTTGTAGAAATAAGCTAAATAGGTTACAAATGTACGCATCCACAATATGTTATTCTATTAAAATTGTACACAAGAAAAAGAATTATGTGAATCATAGCTATATTGAATTTATGTCTAAACTTTAAGCCGAAGAATGCATTAGATTAGGGGAACCTTAAGAGAAAAACATGGAGAAATATCTTAATTTTCTCATAAGTTTGGCTATATACGACATAAATATTTTTTTGGATACCCTCCAACCATGCTGCTGCGATTGGGAAACCCTCCAAGATAACAAGTGTAAGGTTATGCAACCCTGAAAAACTGTAACACATTTGTACACAAGAGTCGTGCAGGAAAACTTATACATCACCGTAAGTACACAAAATTGTAAAAGCAAATACAAGTACCTATCAAGAAAGAAATACCCATATCAGTATCCTTGCTGCGGCAAATCTGCAAGCACTTCAAGCTAGCAAGGACTGAGACAAGAACTATCGAGTACTCTCAGGTGGATGACAGGATATCAATGTAATTTCTTCAAAAATATTCTTCACTCACGATTGACAATTCTGGGGCACACTAAAACTTGTGAATCGGAAAACTTAGACTCTTTTTTGATGGGCTAATGTAATTTCTCAATTTTTTAATTTGAGTTTGTTGTAGGCTTAAACATCAAATAGAAATAATCCATCATTTATCAAGCCCGCTGCATAACGCGGCATGCTTATTCGTTGATTGTAAAGTCCAAACGGTTTTTTCATCTTTTTCTAAAATAAAGCTTCCCATTCATAGTTTGTTTTCTTAATCTTTTTCAAGAAGCAAATGGCATATAGGTGCCAAAAGTGCAAGTACAGCCGAAGACCGTGTCCACTAGACTGTCGCTTCAGACCCTACTATCGTCCTGGGGAGCAAAATTTCCAAATAGTTGTGAATGCATTCGGGCGTTACACTAGTCAGATAATGGAGAATGTACCCAACCAGAGCCATGATAGGGTCCTCTTCGACTCCCTAATGTTCGAGATTAATGCTCGTACAAACAACCGTGTTAGTGGTGCTAGAGGAGTTTTGGCTGTCCATCAACAAGAAGTTGGGTTTCTCAATCAAGAGATACAAGCTTTGTGGACACAGAGAGATAATCTACAGCAACAAAATGAGGCACTTCGGAATCAAAACAATGCTCAGCTACAGTACATTCAGGATCTGCAACAACATCTATATCTATATCTATCTATCTATGGCTATTCAAAAATAACTTCTTGTCACATAAGCACTTGGTGAATGCACAAGTTGCCAAGGTGGACAATTTTTCACAAAAAAAAAAACTACTTATTGATCTAATTATGAAGCTATCTCTCTCTTCTTTTAATAATTCTACTCATTTTTATTACAATTAAAATAAGTAAATTAATTAGGAAACATTTAAACAAACAAACACATACATAAGTAATAATCTTTTTTTTCAATTAAACAAACTATAAAGATGGAAACAGTCAGTGACATATATCATATTTGTTTAACCCAAGCTGATTAAATCTGATTAAGTAAATTTTCTACTTATTTTTACTAAAATTTAATAATAAGTTACATTTTGATGAGAAAAAAAAAACAAGTACACACATAAATAATAATATTTTCCAATTTAAAAAAATATAAACGATGGTCTAAGAGAAAACAAGCGCTTGATAATCAATCGAATTTGAGAAATGAACGATATGACTATATGTTTTTTGCTATCAAACACTCACTTCTTTCTAATGTATATACCTATCAAATAAAATTAGTATAAATTTTATAGCAAAATGTTTGAATATAAACTTGATAGAGCAATAATTTTTTTTTTAAAACTTTTTATTTATTCCGATTAAATAAAAACATATTAATTATTAATGCAAAATTTTAATTTTTCTGTCCCTTTTCCCATTTTGATTGTCTCACTAGAAATAAAATCCAACTTTGAGAATAATAAATCAAGAAAGTATGTCAACCACCATAAAAATAAACAAAGCCCTCTTATTAGTTGCTAAGGGTTGTCGACTGATTCCTCTTCCTCCTTGATCTGAAGCTGGCAACTGGTCTCACTTTCTCAGCGATATGTTATTGTTTGCGGTTGACTGGCCGAGTTATACTCTTCTTCCCATTCTTTTCTTAATTTCTTCCAAATTACGACTGCTGGATGGTAAATTTCCCCACTCTCGATGAGTGAATGTATTTCTTCTTTGTTTTTCACGAAGAAGGGTCGCCATATACTTTTATTAAAATATATAAAATATAATTAAAAGGGTTAATTGGTTGGACTTAGGGCATACCTCCTTTGGTTGAATAATTGATCGTTTTTCTTGAATACCTATTGCAACCCGATTTCTTGAATGTTGAAATGGAAAGTAGAGTTGTGATGGTTCTTTATTATATTTTTATGTTCATGATTGACATGCAATGATGATATGCTTAGTAATTAGTAGGTAGCAAAGAGGTTATAAGTAGAAGGGAACATAATTGGAGTTTTATAAAGGTCGGGAAGAAGAAAGAAAATGATAATGGTGGTTTCTCGGTTGTCTATTTCGATGTTTTTTTTTAATTTCTACATGTTTGCGGTGACATTTATTTGTTTCATTAAGGTGAATTTTTCCGCATTGAATTCCTAACTAAAGCTTGATTTTGACATGATTGTATTTTTACAAATTACTATTTGGATTGATCCATATATCACTACACAAATGAGGAATCTGCATGATAAAATGAGTTGAGTTGTATTGAAGACCGCTCCTTTCATTATTTGTCTATGTTGTTATTAGGTAAAAAAAGAACAATTCTTTTCTGCAGGAGATATGTAGCTCTCTACAAAATATAAATTGTGTTTAAGTATATGCAGTTTAATTTTCTGAAAATATTGCTTTAATAAGTTAGTGACAGCTTATAGTTTTGTTTGTGGTTGGTTTGCTAGAACATTTCAAGGTAATTAAATGAGTACGTGGAAGATTGATGGAGGTGGATGCTAGTGAGTTTCCTCATTATTCCAAAATTGTATGTGTAAGTGATAATACACGATATTCATGAGATTTAGATCGAAATATTCTCTATTATCATATACCGACATATGAGAAGGGAGAGAAAATAAAAAGCTCTTCGCTTATATTTTTATTAATTGAAGCATATTTTATTATTCTAACTTCTTTTTTTGTGTCTGTAAATTTTTTAACTTCTTTATCACAATTGTGTGCTAAAGAATGAATAACTCTTACGTTTATAATCTTAAAGGGTGAGTTCAATAAAAAAATTCTAAATCAGTAAAGAACAGTGAGCTCAGTTAATAAAATTAAAATGTTCATAAATAAACAAAAGATATAAATGTATGAAACAATACCTGAAATAAGGTAAGTGGGATTTACAATTTCATGTATATTACCTTAACAAACATAAATAATAATAACAATTAGAATACTCTAACGAATTATAAAATAACCAAACAAAATACACCGCCCAACGGGTGGGTAAAAAACTAGTGTTAATGATGGACTTCCCCCTCCCCTCCCCCTCCCCCTCCTCATTTCTAAGCATATCCAAAAGCAGAGAAGGGAGATGGATGCAAATGAGGAGAAATGATCAACATGGTTTAGTGATTTGTTTCCTCTTTCTTTCAATGGGTCGAAGAGAAGAGAAGAGAAGAAATGCGGAGCAAAAGTAGGAAGGATTGGAAGGTGTTTTGTTTTCTAATTGGCAGGTAGTTGTATGTTATGTTTTCATTTTGGGCCTTGTTATGACTTTCTAGGGATTATGTAATTGGAATGATTGTATTAACTAGCTTTAATGATATGTAATGACTCATGATAACTGCAGTGAATTTGCA